TAGTTAATAATTAAAGTTAAGAACCCACTTGTAGTTAATAATTAAAGTTAAGAACCCACTTGTAGTTAATAATTAAAGTTAAGAACCCACTTGTAGTTAATAATTAAAGTTAAGAACCCACTTGTAGTTAATAATTAAAGTTAAGAACCCACTTGTAGTTAATAATTAAAGTTAAGAACCCACTTGTAGTTAATAATTGAAACGAGCATGCAATATAACAGCAATGAATCTAACGGCACCGTTTGAGTTTAGTGAAATATTTAAAAACAACCAATAATATGTATACATGTATGGAAAGTTGAGAGTTGGAGCTGATTATTTACCTTTGGCTAGTTTTTACTAGTTTGGCCTACCGATTCTTTCCCGGAAAACTAAGGTTTCAGTTTGAGGTTTGAGCTTCCTCAGGCATGCTAAAATTATCGACATGTTTGTTTATTATTTTCTTTTACACTTTATCGGTTCTTTCACGTGGGAAGTATTCGATGGAAGGAAGACATCAATTGGACCGGTCCAAAAATTCTCAAAAGCCGATTACGTGACGTGAAGCTTTGATGATTTTGAAAATTTAGTCATAATGCAGCAAACGCTGAACGTCAGGCATGACCTCAACATTGAGAACTCTCGTCGAACCACGTTTGGAAATCAAACTGTATAATATATTTTGTAGGTAGATTACATGAAGTAAAATTAAACCAGGGTTGACGCTGTAAAATATATCTTATGACCACTGTGCGATGAGAGTGACATTTTGGAAAAAACCAGAAAAATAATTATATCTATAAAGACCTCACTGTCCAAGCGTATTAAAAGTTATACTTTAAAAGAGAAGTTAAGTTAATTCGATTGACTTTGGAAAAAAAAAATTCTTTGGCTAAACTGTTTTTGAAAATTCAGTTTTACTTAAAAGGACGGGTAAGAGCAAGTGCTAAGTAAGATTTAAATGAAAATGTTCTCTTATTACATGTTATGTCATTAACAATGTCCACGAGAACAGAATCGAACGTGCGTGGACCTACACGTCAGTGTATTTTCTGCGTTAATCATTTCCGAAATGGTTGCAGATTTAAAAAAAAAAACATTATTAACAAATCTAGTAATGCATATTACATTGTGTTTCATTATGGCGGCCGTAACGCCAGAATGTTCATTGTATGTTGGCTATGCATTTGTATTACAAGATGTTCATTTGAAGTAATCCTTAGATTATATCACTAATGAAATGCAACGTTTTATATGTACACAATTAAGATAATTGCTGAAGTCATTAGCGAATATGTACGTCATCGTCAGGAGTAACTTACAAAAACAAAATTCCAATAGTTATACACTTATTCCAAGTCATGCAATATTACGTTCTATGTTATTTTCATAACTTATTGACAAACCTGTACAGCAGGTCACGCCATATACAAATACAATGACTTGCTGAACCTTAATCTTTGTTTAACGCTACTTTTCCTATGCTATTTCTTCTAAGTATTGGACATAAATAGCAGTCAGTCATACTTCGAGGTAGATTTAGTTTTACTCCCATAAAAGTCTATCATGTTTTTCTTTTGTACATGTTCTGCTATAGCTAACAATTATATTATTTCTTACAAGTGCCGATCATTCATAGTTAAACCTTAGATTCAAATA